GACGCTGAAGACATGGAGGAGCTGAGCGACTCCGAAACCTTCGATTTCGAGTCCATGCAACTTCCTCAGGTGGTTGGACAGGTTGCTGATGAAGGGGAAGGTGGTCCTTGGAGATATAGCACGTCCCCTGCCGGTTTGAAGCGTGTGTATTTTGGCGCGAACCCGTCGACGACCAATCGTCTGATGACGGGGAGGAAGACAGAGACTATGATTACGAACCTTGTGACAAGCTCCCTGTGGACCATGATACCTATGAGAATGACAAACTCTTCTTCTTCGGCAAGCATCATCGGTTCACGCCGGAGGATGTTTGGCGACACAACGTCGTCTGGCACCCGAGGATATTCCAACCTGCAGTGAAGAATGGAAGGTGGGTCATGGCAATGAAGGAAGGCGATGGCAAGTGGAGTGGAATGAACAGACTTGGAGCGGGTCCATTTAAGAAAAAGGCGAGAGGTGCTCTGGTGGACCATTTGAGGGTTATGAACCCCGACAGGAGCCTGCCGGACGTCGATGCGTATGCAGTCCAAAAGCTAGATGAGTTGTACGACAAAAAAATGTTGGAGTTTCGTGCGCCTTTCTACGCACTGGAGACGGCACCGTCTCGTGGCACTGACTGGCRCATGCCGCAATGTCCGTCGAGCGGTCAGCATCCGGGGAGCGGTGGAGGAGGAGACGAAGGAGACAACGGAGGTGATGGAGGAGACGGCTCACGATTTGTCGGAAAGGGGACGGGCGAAACATCGTCGGGAGAAAAGGCGTCCGACGGAAAGGGGTCAGTCGGAAAGGGGTCGAGTGGAAAGGGGTCGAGCAGAAAGGGGTCGAGCGGAAAGGGATCGGGCGGGAAGGGGTCGGGCGGGAGGGGGTCGGGTGGGAAGGGGTCGGGCGGGAAGCGAAAAACGTCTGGGAGTCCCCAGCATAGGGAAACTTATAGCCACTGCCTAGGGAGTCGTGATTCTGACATGCGAGACGTGGCCACCTTGAGGTCTGATCAAGTGCGAGTAGATTCGCACTTGTCTGCAAGGACTTTGTTTCCCTATACCGAGGAGAGTCCATCCCGCCGTGCGCAGCAGAGGTCTCCTATGCACAACACCTTGCTCCTGGAAGAGGGCGAACATTTGCGTCATCCGGCAACATTTCATGAACTGCGAGACCATTCCTTGATGGGAACTGCGTCTTCGTTTTGTCTGGAGGGCAGGAAGCCTACATTGCGAAGGAGCTAAGGTGCGACCGTCAGTTCCATCAGCTCGGCCAAGCGCCACAAACTCCGAATAGATTCGGAGTTGCTGACGTCGCCCTGGAGGCCTTCCGCCAGAAGTGCTCCTCACGATACAGTTCCGCGGGGCCAAGAAAATGTGACGTCCTACCCCTGGCATCTTCAGTTGGGCACAGGGTTTCCCTGCTCACCTCCGTTCTCATATGTTGGGACTTGAGACTGGCGGTTTGGCGACGTGCTGGAGGGGCCCACTGCAGGAGTGTTGGAGACCGGGGGTGGCGAGTACGAACGTCATGCTTCGGAGGGCTTGCCAGTCGACGTTGACAGCAAGAGTGCAGCGGCTCCTGGGGAAGTGGAGCGCTCTCCGGGAGCGCCGAATGCTGTACAGCGGGAAGTGGAGACTCAACAATGGGAGTCTCGCAAAGTGTTGGGGACCGAGGGTAGCGAGTATGAACATCATGCTTCGGAGGGTGCGTCCCTGGACACTAACAGCGAGAGTACAGTAGCTCCGGGGGAAATGTGTGCTCTGCAGCGGGAAGAGGAGACTCGACACYGGCCGACTCGCGAAGTCGTCAAGGAGATCGACGCAGGAGTGTTGGTGATCAGGACGTCCGAAGAGGTTTTGCAGTCTTTCGGCTGTGGCCACGACGCGAGAGGGTGTCGTTAAGGGAGGTCAGTGGACGTTCGTGCAAACTCCCGTTCTTGGCGATGATGAAGGCGAAGAAGAACCCATGGTGGAAGCTCAGGTTTGTGGCGATGAGAAAGGCAGAGAACCCGTGGTGGAAGGCGGTGGGGTGACGGTCGACATCCAGATGGATCCACAACGGAAATATGATAATTCTTCGCTCACCCGTTTCGTTGAAGAACAGGGTGATCGAGCGTCCGTCCTCAGTACCGGTCGGGAAATGGTAGTTCATGAAACCATCGAGCTGGTTAGCAACTCAGGCGTCGCCCAGGTACACAACTTCGAATCCTCCGTGGAAGGCAGTGAGGTGGCCGTCAGCGTCAAGATGGATCAAGAGCAGAAAGATCATGATTCTCCGTCCTCCCGTTGCGGTGAAGAACAGGGTGATCGAACGTCTGTCCTCAGTACTGGTCCGGAAATGGTACTTCATGAAGCCATCGACTTGCCTAGCGATTCAGCTGTCACCGAGCTGGTTAGCGACACAGCCGTGGCCGAAGTGCAGAACGTCGAATCCTCCATGGACGTTGGCGCAGTGGTGCGATAGGAGGGTGAATTCCCTCAAAGGGCGCCCGACCACGATAAGATTTGTGAATAGCAGCACTCGCATATCTGTCATTAGCCAGCTCTGTGTTTGTCGAAATTGATGTGATGGGCTCATGTACCTTTTACCGCTTGTTAAAAAAAAGTTTATGGCCTGTGGGTTGTTTTCCATGTTTTAAAGGTGTGAGGTTGTCAATGTCCCTGCCCATGAAGCCTTTGAAAGCCGTCCGCGAGGAATGTCTTTCATGGAGGTCATTGGTCGCTTTACCGAAGAAGTCGTCGAGTGTAGGTCTGTTTAAAAGGGTCCAGATGCCTCGCCTTTCCCAAAGAGCTCTTAGGGTTCTGAAGGCTTGTGGAATAGATAAGGAGGAAGGTTTGCGGAAACATTTGGCTGTGTCTATTGAAAGCGTTACTGCTTTGTCTGATGGGTCTGATAACGATGCCAAACGGGGTGTTTTGAAAGACCGGTGTCCTAAGTACATCGCTAAGGACACTTTCAACAGTCGGGGATACAACTTCTCTAGGAAAAGGGCAGACAGTTCTTAATCATTTCGCCCCGGTGATTTTTGTCACTCCTCACACTTGTTCGTGGGTGTTTGTGCAGCTGGGGCTACATTATGTTTTCGCGTTCCCTTGCCTACTGCGGAGCTTAGCGCTACGAACTTGAGAATGTTGCAGGACGTTTGCGGAGATTTCAGCAACGACCACGAGGTGGTTTCCTCGGTTCGCAAATGGCCCAGTTCAGTTCCGTTGAGCAGAAAAAGTCTTCAAACTCTTGTTCAGGGGGAATGGATTTCCGACGAGGTGGTGGAGTCGTACTTGGCCTTGCTTGCCAACGCTTCGTTGCCTGGGTGTCCCTCTCTTTACATTTTCAGTACATTTTTCTATACCAAGCTCGTCGGTGGCGGTTGTCGACATCATAGGGTTGCGAGATGGACAAAAGATGTGAATATTTTCTCGTACGAGATGGTCTTGATTCCTGTCCATAAAAATTGAGTGCATTGGACCCTGTTGTGTGTCCGAGAACAACGGCTGGAGTACTACGACTCCCTCCTACAAGATGATGGCGGTTTTTCTTCCGATGTGATTGCGAACTTCACTCAATACCTTCGTGACGAAGCAGTTTGTCATTATGGTCAAACAACGAAACTGGATCTCCAGGAGCCCAAGGTGGTTGTTCATGGTGTCCCTCAACAGTCGGACGGGTCGAGCTGCGGTGTTTTCATGCTCGCCTTCGTTTCATTTCTTGCACGYGRCYATCCTCCACCATTTCCGATAGCCCAAAGCGACATTCCAAAGATCAGGCTGAGGATTGCGGTGGACATACTCCAAGGCTCTGAATGATAACCCTRTTTTTKAAATTCACGTAGTTTTTTATTCGAAAGGCCATRAGCAGAARTGCRAATCTATTCCCACTTTGTCTAGCACTCGGCCGGTTCGAGCTGTGCTATTGTTTTGATGAGGTACCGGATGGCAGTGGACGTTTTCATCAAGTAAACGCTTAGGTGTCGATGTGAATATCCCGGCCTCGTGYTATAGCAATTTTTTTAAGGGTTCTTCATTTCGAGGAACGTGTCATATTTGCTCGTAGGACTTTCGACAGGGTCGTGCTGCCACGCAACATCAGCTAGAGGGTGGAAGCGGACGCTTACGTGAAGAACAATCTTAGATTCTGATGTAAATATCTCAGCCACATGGTGCAGTATCTTTAGATTCCGATGTAAATATCCCAGCCACGTGGTGCAGTGTCTTTTAAGTAGACGCTTTCGTATCAGTTGTGAATAACCCAGCTTTATGCTCCCTTTGTTAGTTTACGGGTTGTTCTCCTTATGTCCTCTACGACCTCGGCAGCACCGTGCTGTGCTTGTTCGTTTCCATGTTGTGCTCTTATTTTACTCATGGGATGCCTTCGTCCTCTTGTGGACGTTGTTTACGCTCGTGCTCGTGGGGCTCGATACTCTTGTTCATTTAGCAAGATATTGGTGAAAGATATCAACGATTTCTTCTTCGTCGCCAAATTATTTCGTGCTTGTCTCTATCTTTCGCGAGACTTTGTAATGTGAAAGCCCCCCTCCCCTGCCCCACCCCACCCCGACCGTTCATCTTTCATATGTTTTCGCTCGCCACTTTCTCCACTGAATGTTGTCTGTTGGTTCCATATGACAATTGCGAACTTGTTCTCCATTTGGAAACCAATTAGCGCCAGAATGTATGTGTGCTTGAAGTTATTTTACGGATTCAGCGGTGCACTAAATGATTTTCGATTTTGTTATCCCCAGAATACATCTCGTGCTCTCCACGGAATGCTGGCTGTAGTTTCCGTATGAGAAATGCGAACATATTCGCACTTGGGATGCCGTGCATTTCTRATTAAACCGTTCATGTCCACAAATTTGCCAAAATGATTATTTTTTGTGCTGTCAACGCCATCTTGTTCATAACTGTAAGTTCGACAAAATGATGATCAATTGTGCTATTCCCAAAATGTATGTGTGTTTGGCCCATGTGTTTCGGCGTTGTTTGGCGTTGAAGGATCGATGTTAGGCATTCGTAAAAATGAATGATTTGTCGAAATTGTTAACTTCTGTGTTCTCACTGGAAGACTGACCATTTACGCAAGTTCGCAAAAAATACATTTTTTTACAGGCCTTCTGTCTTATCCACAAAATGGATAAATCGCGAAAAAGATTGTCATTTGAGTCATGTCTTGCCGGATGTTAAATTCGCTCCATGTACTTTGTGATTTTGGGAAAGCCTTTGTGTGCTTTGCAATGTGGGATTGAATGATTTTTTGCACTCAATTACTTTTCGAAAGGCCTCTGTGTACTTTGCAATTTGCCATTGACTAAATTTTTTGCATTGAATGATTTCTGGAAAYAAGATATACTTCTTTGGATGGATATGTGTYTTCTSCACACAAGGATTTGATGACAGTTTCATCCGGGAATATACAAATTACAAGCCAATGTCCATATTAAATCATYGCACTGMTGGAGTGCGCGCCTGCTTCTCCATCAAAATGCGAGTTCAATCGCACTTCTGGTGTGAAYCCTGAGCAATCCCCTCGCACTTTGCTTGAYGTCAAGGAGGGGATCGAAGTTCATCGAAYGCACCGYCGGTAAGCACCTGCACATTACGAAACAAGAGCACGTCCCAATTGGAACATCGTCGGGTTATTGCGATGTCGACTCCCACATGATGACTACACTGAACAGTGGCAGGATGACCGGTCCGCCTCTCCGATGTGGATCTAACGGTGGATTGCGTAAAATCTGCTCTTATAGATCCATACCGGGGATGGGGGCCAGGATCCAACCACAGTTTGCTTGTAAAGCATCATGTGATGAGTCGACATAACCGACATCCAGAACTGCTTGGTGAGCATCTAGTGCTATACCAATAATTTCCAAACACGGCCGCAAAGTCCCCTAAGAGTGTTCATTGTCGGTTTCCTCACGTCGTCGATTCCCACGTGATGAGTACAGTAAACAACGACAGGATGGAAGGTCCCCCTCGCCGGAATGGATCTAACGGTGGATTGCACCAAATCTGCTCTCAAAGATCCACTCCGGGTAGAAGCTCCTGCAATCAGCCACTGCTAGCTTGTAAGCATCATATGATGTGTCCATACAATCGACATCCAAAACTGTTTCATGAGCATCTAGTGCTACGCCAATAAGTTCTAAACACGACCGCAAGGTCCCCTAAGAATGCTTTTAGCACTAGAGTCCTCTAACCGCCGACTGTTTGGCACTTCGTGAAGGTGGTCATTTCTACCGATACAGAAGGTTCGTGAGCACTTGCATTGCTTAAATATGTGCCGATGGGTGCTCGGCATTGCATACATGTAGTAATGTTGGCCCTCACTGGATACGTTGCCGTCTCGGATGCATCCCACAGAAGGACCTCACATGCTGCGGACATGCAAATTCCCTGGGAATGCTAATGGCAATCCGCGGCGACAATTGATGACATGCGGGAAACAAATACACAACCATCACCAACGACTGCTTGACACTTCTTGAAGGTGGTCTGCCACTTCTTAAAGGTGGTCAGTCACCAAACAGATCACGACCTGACATCAACCTCGCATTAACGTTCCCATCCGAGTGCAAATGGCAATCCAGGAAGACGGCCAATGAGTGTTTGACCACTTCCTTAAGGTGCTCTGTCGAACAACGATAACTGCGAACGGACCCGCACGCGAACCGGCGCACTGGGGGGGGGGCTGATGGGCGAGGCCACTGCTATTCGACGTCGGTCGACTAGGATGTATCCTGATCACTACGGACGCGAACCGGCACACGGAATTCGATGTCGGTCGACTACGACGTATCCCGCTCACTACGAACATAATATTAAAAATAAAATCTGTGCATACACACACGAAACGACACAAAACAACATAACAACAGCGGGACAACACTCCTACTCCCTTCAGTAGCCATCCCATAAGTTTCCGTGGCCGAAATCGGATAGCCGACACTCGCGAGACTTTGTATAAAACACCGTGGGCTATCTCATATCGACTACCAATGCATGTGCAAACAAGCAGTCTATTACTAAGTCTTCTTTTTTAATCACTAAATTTTAACGAAATGTGTATTGCACGCGTTATACTGGGCGCAAAACAAAAAAAATCAAATCTTATCTTTTTGTTTGGTCCTCCCCCGTGTGACCGGGCGCACTTGCCTTGAATGCAAAGTGTTGGGGTCATGACTTGGTCCTTTCCGGACGAGGTCCGCCCGTGTGACCACGCGGGGACCAAAAGCCTCAAAAAAGCCGAACCAAATGCCTCAAATTTTTGAGACTTTGGTCCGCCCGTGCTTAATGGGGTGGATCTTTCTCCTCCATTCTCATGCACAGGCAGTCTCGCCAGGCTGTCCTTCGACTGGCAGTCGAAATCTGTCGGGCCATTTTTTTGTTTTCCCCTTCATGTCCTACACCACGGCCGCCGTACTGTCATTTCCCTTTCGAGTTTCGCGGCTGTTCTTTCTGCCCATGCGTGCCTTTTTTGCCCATTTGAAACTCTGTTGTGACATAAACCCACTTGCCTGTTGTTTGGCGC